GCCAGTTCACTAGGATCTAGTTGTGGTTTCTTAATAAGAGGCTTAATGACCGCCAGCTTGAATGTTTTTGGGACGTGACCTAAAGACAATGACGAGTTAATAATATTGAGAAGCGGTTCTTCTGCTACAGGTAACAACTCTTTCAGTAATTTAGTGGGTACAGGATCTAACAGGCATGTTGTTGGTTTAGATGCAGTGATAAGTTTATTTAGCTCCTCCTGTCCTATAGCTGTAAAGCACTGCAGTTTATCTTTTGGCGCGATGAATGAAGCTAAAGTTTTATACGCTGTAGAATCTACATTTGCTATTGGACACATGTTTTAACCTGCTCAATATACTTTTTATTATTTTATGTATATTTGAGTTTTAATAGGTTTTCATGTTGTCTTAGCCATTTTATTCCTCTTAACCATTTTAATGTGTGTATGTCTTTAAATGAGTTTGGGTCTGCCTGTCATGTGACTGGTCACATGACAGGAAGTAGGAAATGGACAGCATAAAGGAGGCAGCATGTCAAACAAGCATGGTCGTTGCTCTCATTACGACTAAGTGGTGATCACCTGCAAACTGGAATAGTGGAGTTACCTTTGTGGACTTAACTTTCCAGCACTTTGGATTAACACTACAGTGGACTTTTGTATATACACCGGTGGACACTTTTGGGGACATTCACTTTGGGACTAGCAGCACACTGGATTTCTTAAGGACTGCTTTAATGGTATGAAACTAAAAGACTGTACTTTTAACAGCCTAAGTTATTCTAGTTTTGTGTTGTTTTAAGTCTCTTGTGAATATTGTAAATACATATTTGATTTTCACTTTTAACATTGTTGTCTATCTCATCTTTTAAACACTCCAAAGCTCTCACATAGTATAATCTGACCCCTTTTTAACAAATGTAACATCTTCCAATAATGCCGATAATTACACGGTAAGAGCTTCGTGCTCTTTCTGAGTGGTTTAAAACCCCGGTTCCGCCTTGGGCACCACTCCTCCTATGTATCCTCTGGATACCTACTTTAACAGGGTGTTGCTGCTAGGGGTCTGTTGAGACAGTTCCTTCAGCATATACAAAGATAAACGTGCAGTAGCCTCTGTGTGACAGGCCAAGACTAGTATGATTCTAGGCCTTTGGCCGTAGGGAATAATGTCACTAACAGCCGTCTAACGTCCCAGGGGCAACTCCCATAGCAATATGGTAGAGTTGGTACTTAGTGCTCGCCATGGTTTCTGGCATGCACTCCCCTCAGCATGGCGGTGTGGGTATACCGTTCCCCATAGCGATCCCTAGAGGACGCAGTTTGAAGTTTCCATGAAAGTGAACGTCTCAGGTTACTTATGTAACCATGGTTCCCTGAGTAGGGAACGAGGCACTGCGTCCTCTAGGTTTCTTGCCATGCTGCGGACGCAAGCTTCAGATGAAGAAGTGAATGATGTGTGCTCCTGGCGC